AGAGTGGAACTGTTTTTTGCAGCTTTGTATCAACCTTCCAAATGAAAGCACACAATTCCAAGATCAGGTGGAATGATTTTCAATTATTTCTAAAGACTATCCCAGTTATTGAGATGCTCTCTGCTGGACAGGATATACAAATAAAGCCACCAGGTTTACATGTGAATTTATAAAAAAAAAAACTGCCAACAAATTATCCTTAGCACAGGCATGTGATTCTCAGTGAAAACCTAATGATATCCCCAAGAATATGCCTCATCATATATGCTGATTTTGGCCCATTTTTCATTTAGGGCAGGGAAATTCTTGATTGACACTAAGTCAATTGGCGTTAAATCAGGGTTTCCTTTGAGAACACAATTGAGGGACATTTGCTCCAGGGAAATTTATGGCACTATGCAGGGTTGGCACTAAATTGGGGGGCACTAAATCAAGGGTTTGTAGATACATTTCTTGCTATTGTTTGTCACCCTTTAATGGTAATTGAAAACATGTCAAATGTGGAGGGAAATGTCGTCAAGGATAAGAAAAAATGCCCTAGAAAAAATGTGTCACCAACATTACCACCAAAAGAAACGGTTCGGGCCACTTTCCGACCCCATCATCACCACACAGAGCCACCTGCATTATTGCCTCCACGTCCGCGTGTATATACGTGTCCAGTCCACTCCAGTCCCGTGCCGAGAACCCATCAATTTCCGGGTTGCAATCCATGGATTCCTGGGTCAGACCCCGACAAACTGCCTATATGGTATACATTCACGATGCCGTACATGCGCGCCATCTAGCGGGATTACGCAATAATCCCGCAGGACATCCAGATGACGACTAGAAAATTACTGTATACCCAGTTTCCGGAAACAATAAAGGATAAAAAAATTATGTTCATAGCATACTAAAGAGTGTTGAACAACAAGAAAGAAGATGCTGTGCGCAAATACATGTGCTGGTACCTTGCAATTTGACCCTAACACATTGCCAAACTTGGGTTGAATTTCAAAGCAGTCATATAGCAAGACACTTAGTTAAATTCAAAAATATCAATGCAACAACGTGAAAAAAGCCGAAAGCAGGTTGAATTGTGGGATAAAGGTTGAATTAAACTTCACTGAAAATTTAACTGTCATATTTTGGGACTGTCAAATTTTGGGAGGTCAAATTGCAAGACACTTTGTTAATTTCAAAAATATCATTGCAAAAATGTGAAAAAATGGCCAAAGCAGGTTGAATTGTGGGACAAAGGTTGAATTGCAAGTATCAACTTCCCTGCAAATTTGATCATCAAATTCTGGGACTGTCAAATTGCCGGAGGTCAAACTGCTATAGGTACCACTTGTACACTACTTCCTTTCACACATGACACACGTTGGGTAATAAAAAAATGAATTAAATCAGGTGCCGTTTTTGGGCGACATGTCGTCTAAACTTGGACTTACAGTGCAAATACTGTATGGGCTTCATCCACGGGAATTTTCATTCCTGGATGCATCAAAATATCGAAAATTTGTCGTTTTCTTCACCCGCCATGAAAAACAAACATGCACGATGTTTACTCAAATACCATGCGCACCTTTTTCTCAAATTTGAGGGCGGAAAAGGGGGATACGCATCATAGACAGGTGTGCATTTTAAAAAGGTTTAAAAACTTTATATAGTGTGACTTGTATTTGATTTTAATTTGAAAAATTTAGACTAACAAGTCATCGTTTTTGAGTGAAGTACCTATATGTCATTAACTTTTAATCAACTTAAGACCTAGTTTAGTACAGGTTTAGGTTTTAAAACCACGATATTAAAAAAGCTTTTATACGTCAAAATCTCAGTATGAAAATGGATTGAGCACGTAATACTCGGGTATAAAATTTATAAAAAAAAGTTTGACTGAGAAACCCTGGAGCACATCTTACTCAAGGACAAGTGGTACTCAAACAGTACAAAACATTCATGGGCTATTCGTGAAAAATTGTCTCCAACGTTCCGCACAATATGGGTTCCATTCGACACCCGGAGGGTCTATATACCCTCGCCCCCTGGGATTTGTACAGGACACGATGCGATGTGTCACGTAATATACGCGGAAACCCGCGGGGCTTGACATGATTGAGCAGAATTTGATAGCAGTGCCCCAACCACATATCCGCTGATCACCACTGGACTTCTTGCAGCCAGCACCTGGCAGTCCCACAGGAAACGAAAATAACTCAACGACAACCCAAATGGGATGAAACGAAAGTAATTTTCGTGTGCATCGACGATTTTTCTACAGTAACCTGCGTCCTTTTGCGTGTCTGAGAAATTATTTTATAATCGGCACGAGAGCAACTGTTTCGAGTGCGGAAACGATAAAAAAAGATTTGCAAATAGGTTTATTCTGCTTTCAAGTTCTGTAATACTGTACTGCTGTGTTACTGCTGTACTTACATTCAGAGCACGTGTCGAAATAATGCAAATTGATTTGACGAGCAACTTTGGATAAATAACGAAAGCAGAATCGAAATCTTGATGACTTCATGCAATCTTCTCGTTAATTACTGGCTCGTTAGCTTTTCTTTGGCAATTCGTGGCATTTGGGCGTTATTAAGTTTTGAAGACCAAATTTTAATTTCGGTCATTAAGCTATACGGGGCGCACTTGAATTACTTCCGAAAAAGATACTTGATTCGTCCTATTTCAGAAAATAAATGAGAACATACAATTAGTTATCGCCAGAATGTAAATAACCTCAGCTGAACAACTTCTGCAAAACGGGCCTGTTTAAATTGTTGTTTTCTTTATTATCAGTATGGTAACAAATGAATGCAAACTTTGCCGAATTTATAGTACAATAAGTCTTTTTACGTTGTTCCTTGCTGAAAATATTAATTGTACACGGCTGTCTGATGAATATGGGCTGCTATGATTTTTTTATGGTGTAAAATGTTGAATCCCTGCGCAATATATTCTAGAAGAGGCAGCTGACCGAAAGTCTAAAATTTTTGTGAAATTTCAACTGCTGGAATTTCTCAACACTTTCGATGAGGACGTTCTTTAATTGACTATAAAGCAGCAATTTTCACCTTTTCAGTTCATTTTTTTTTAAAATTTTAATGCAGACATTCGGGGATCACAAGAGACTTATTCCAGTCGCACAGCAGGGGCAGACAACTGTTTTTTCTTCCTCACTAAAAATTATTTTAGTGACACGCCAATGATCCAGGATCCCACTCAAGATCTCAAGAAGATTTTCCAGGTCCAGAGGTCTTATAGAAGTATTTTTCAAGCAAGCCTCTTTCATGTGAAGTCCATCTGCACGATTCGTTGATCAGAGGTTCTTTCATCTCCCCAATAAGACCTCATGGAATTCTTAATTCTCCTCAGGAAGACCTTTCCAGTCTTCAACATCTTTTCAAAAAATATTTTTCGTTCAAGACCCCAGTCCACTTTTCATGCAAATTTTCCTTCAGCAAGACTCGTTGATCGGGGGTTCCGGACACCCGCAGGGGTTTTCGTACGGTTCTTCCAAGATTTTTTTGCACGGGTTTTCCGCGGGTTCTTGGCACGGTGCTGGTTCTTCTTTCTTCTCCGGCTCCGGGCACACGCATTTCATGCAGGGGTCATAAGTGCACTCTTTTTCCGGTTCGGGGGACAAGCAACACATCGGACTCAGGGGTCGAAAGAGGTCAATGCAATCCGGCTCGTCGTCGCATGCCCAGGGAGCCCCGACGAAAAAGAAGTCTGCCAAACGCTTCAATGGGCCCTGATGTTTAAAAAAACAAAATGAAAAGGCTAGGGATTTAAAAACAGATCATTTTAGCACAAATTATTGTTTTAAAATTGGTTTTTGAACATAGCTTACTTGCCCAAGGGCTTGGTACAAATATATGCATAGTTTATAGAGCAGTTCAGTGGTGCCTTGCCTATTTAACAACCACAATTCATTCCTGCACAGTGGATGTTAGCTGAAATGGGGATAAGGTGGGTCACATTTTCCCTTAACTCTTGGATGACAGAGGGTTCTTTCCCATAGTGGGACAGAGTCGGATTATTTTTATATTTTTTCCACATTTTCAGTATTAGTTTCCAGTCCTTTTAGGAAGGTCTGCCCGACTCCGTTTCAACCCTAATTAGGATCTTTTCGGTCACCGGATTAACTCGTAAAAAAATAAAAGGACGTTTTAAAAAGACGTGGGTACTTTTTTTTTCATCCAGATTTTTCCTGACTTCGCCCTTAACCCCTGTTGGTCATTTTCTTCTTCACCTCTCTCTGAGGTGCAAAAAAATTTTGCAAAAATAGTCCAACTTTGCTTCCCCACGGTTAAGGATTGATGTATAACCCATTAACTGGTTCCTGAGAAAAAACATTCTGGCCGAAAAATGTAAATATGCGTGCCTAAATTTTCAAATAACAAAGCACAGATCCCTATAAAAACACTGCAATATTTCATTCAAATGCTTTTCCTGATTAAATTGCATTGCTTCTCTTTCAATATAAATGGCACCCAATGCCCAATATTAAAAAAAGCATAAATGAATAATTTACCTTTTTATTATTTTTTAAAATTGGTCAATAAATAATAATGAAAACTAGGGATATTTAATTAAGGTACCTCCTTAATTACATACTCTGAGATGAAAACCAGCTGATTGCCCTGCCTTATTATTTCTCACCATTTCTTCCACACGCGATACCAAGTTAATAAAAATACAACCCAACTAGTTAAGGAGTTGTAGTAGACGCGTATAAATGTCGTTCTTAAAGAAAACGGTTTTATTTACTCACCCAATGCCCAATAGCTGTATTAAAAAATAAATGAATAATTTCCCTTTTTATTATGTTTTAAAATTGGCCAATAAATAATAAATGAAAACTATTAAGGTACCTCCTTAATTACATGCTCCGGGATGAAAACCAGCTGATTGCCTTGCCTTATTATTTCTCACCATTTCTTCCACACGCGATACCAAGTTAATAAAAATACAACCCAACTAGTTAAGGAGTTGTAGTAGACGCGTATAAATGTCGTTCTTAAAGAAAACGGTTTTATTTACTCACCCAATGCCCAATAGCTGTATTAAAAAACGAATGAATAATTTCCCTTTTTATTATGTTTTAAAATTGGCCAATAAATAATAAATGAAAACTAGGGATATTTAATTAATGTACCTTCTTAATTACATACTTCTGGATGAAAACCAGCTGATTGCCTTGCCTTATTATTTCTCACCAGTTCTTCCACTGCGCTATGGTTCAATTATTTTTATGTTGGGTTGATCAATTCCTCAACATCATCTGCGCATATTTACAGCAAGAATTTTTTTGGCCAAAATAAATGACACCCAATGCCCAATAGCTGTACCTTTAATTTATGTTGCGTGACATTCTTTTGTGATATTTGTTTTTGTCCCAGCTTTTACCAAAAGGGGAAAATTCTGAAAATACTGTATTAAAAAATGAATGATTTCCCTTTTTATTATGTTTTAAAATTTGCCCATCTGTCAATACCTGAGCAGTGTCGTAATTTTGCGGCACGCAACACGTCCCTCGCATCTCCTCCATCTCCGGCTTGGTAATCTCCTTCACTGGCACTCGAACAACAAACTCTCCAGTGTCCTTGCCGCAAGCATCCTTGCACCTTTCGGGTACTTGAACCCCGCAAGACCCAGCCTCGTCATCCTCGTAGCAACACATGAGTTCCAGGTACTCGCACGCCTTGGGCGGGTCGCAACACGTCGGGTCCAGTTGCAACGGCGGCAGGCACACCTTGGGCATGGGCTCGCAACCGAATTCCCCGCCGCAACAATACTTGTCCAGCATGGAAGGGGGCAACAGGATTTTCTCCTCGCAAACGGGTTCGCAACTGGGCAAGGGTTTCGGGATGCAGACCTTGGTGCACTTGGAGATCTCCTTGAGCATGTCTTGTCGGCCGCGTTCGTAGTCGTTCATTTGAGCTGCGCATGCCTCTGCGCATTCCTATCATGTTCGTGATGAGCAGAAAGTAAATGCAAAATCATGTACAGTACTGTATTAAAAACACATATACGACGAGTTTTCTTGTACAACGAAAGACCCAACGCAGGAATGCAACACTGCAATGACAATTCGTATGACAAGAATATTTTTTGAAATTTACAACTGTTTCCTATACACGGTACTGTTATAAAACTGTTTGAATTTTCCACTTTTGGCAAAAACTGGGACGAAAACACATATCAGAAAAAAATGCACGCAGCATAAATTAAAGCTTAAATGGATAAATTCATCAAAAAGTGAATCTGGGAGAAGATCTAAACTTTACTCGAGAACCTTTTGTTTCTGCTGGAAGACTTAATTTTGCTCGAACTGCTGTTTGAGTTTTTGCCAAAAAAGAAGAAAAAAAAAACGGGATAAAAATTCAGTATATTTTCAAATTTCTTGAAATTAATTCCTCCAAGAAATCCCAAATAACGCATTTTTAAAATGGAATTTTTCTTGATAAGTTTGCTGTACGTGACAAGATGTCAACTGTTTAAAAAGCGCGATGCTAACAAATACCAGTCATGCAAAATTCTACAAACAATATTCAAATTATCGGAATTCCAAAATTTTGCTATAATTTTTGCAGCAGAAACCTAAAAAGGTTCGAAAAGAATGTCAGAGGAAAAGGGCATCTAATGAAGTCCACGCCAGGATAATCACTGAAGAATTTCATTCAATTCAAAAAAATCAAGCGAATCTCAATTTCGTGTTACGATGTATTTTTTATCCTAGCAATTTCTTGTGAAGAAGTTTCACATATAAGTATTTTTAAACGAAAATATTAATAATTACGATTAAATTCTGCAATAAATGTACTGAAATACCTCAATTAATTGATTTATTCCTCGCTTTTACGTTAACAATGGTGAGCTCTCATTGTAATTAAAAACATAAGAATACATTGATGAGCTATTTTTGAGAAAGCGACTGCAAGAAAATTTTTTAGGATACTAAAGACAAAATGCGTCATCAGATGTCAAGTATATACGTCGTACTTTTTTTTCCATGTGACTTGAGTAATAAAATCAACACAAGTCATTACCTCAAAACATTTGAATATCTTCTCAGGTTTGTCGTCACAAATGAGATCCTTCACTTTGTCTTTGCACACGTACTGGACACACTTGCTTGACCCGTCTTCCATTTTGCACTCCAGAGTGATTTCGTCTGGACAATTAGGATCCGCTGTACAAGGCTTAGAAGCATTTTTGTCCTTGATGCATTGAAAAGTGTAACAAGGTCGCTTCCCACTCTCATCACAGAGCTCAATAGTGCATTTTTCTTTCTTATCCTTGCACTTGAGTGGACACACAAATGGTGGGCACGGATCCTTCTTTGGAGGAGGTGGTGGAGGTGGGCACATGGGATAACATGGTGGTTCAGGAATGCAAGGCGGTTCTTTAGGCGGAGGCTTTGTGCAGCATGGCAATTTGGGCCATGGATTCCTGCATGGTGCTGTGGGTGCAGGTGGAGGTGGCTCATAGCATGGGTCATCTGGATCAGTTGGATCTGGTAGGCAGCATGGTGGTGGTGGGCAAGGGTCACATGGTGGTGTGGGAGGTGGTGGCATGCACACTGGTGGAATTGGAGGTGGACATGGTGGTGGACAGCACACTGGTGGTGGACATGGTGGTGGGCAAGGTGGTGGGCAGGGTGGCGGACATGGTGGAGGACAACACACTGGAGGGCATGGTGGTGGACATGGTGGTGGGCAAGGAGGAGGGCAGGGTGGTGGACATGGTGGAGGACAACACACTGGAGGGCATGGTGGTGGACAAGGTGGAGGGCATTTTGGTGGACAGGGTGGAGGGCATGGTGGAGGACAACACACTGGAGGGCATGGTGGTGGACAAGGTGGAGGGCATTTTGGTGGACAGGGTGGAGGGCATTTTGGTGGACAAGGAGGAGGACAAGCTGGAGGACAGGGTGGAGGACAGGGTGGAGGACAAGCTGGAGGACATTTTGGTGGACAAGGAGGAGGACAGGGTGGAGGACAAGGTGGGCACATTGGACATGGTGGAGGCGGACAAGAAGCTGTGCAAGGTTTGCTGCCAGTGTCGCAGTTTATCTGTGGCAAAAAATACTTTGGACATTCGTATTTCCCGTGTGAAGACTTCTTTGAGATGTTCATCTTGGACGCATTTGACGAGCAATCCAATAATGACCTACAATTGTCTAAATTCTTAGAAGATCCATTTGAAGATACTTTTTCTGCCATCCTGGCAACAATAAGCCCGGATTATTCCCCGGGTTTTCTCTTGCGATCCTCCTTCAGTAACTTCTGCTACGGTGCATGGGGTAAAAGTAACTGATTAAATGTGCATTTAATGGAACCACCTTTAATGTGCATGAGACTCTGCAATGATCAAAAACAATTAGTCAGCTTTCACCGTTCTCGCAAAATAAAGCCCAGAATGACAAGTTGCCATTATTAAAATCATTCCTTCCTACGCATACAATCTACTTAAACTTAGACGGCATCTTTAGGTAAAAAAAATAAGAGTGGTTGCGTGAACATATGAAAAATGTTGTAAATTTATTTACCTGGATACAAATTATGTGTTTCCCCCTCAAAAAGTCATAGACAAAACAATTTTTATGCCAGTTTAACCTACACATTCTTAAAAATCCTCCAGCGCATGTAAAGTCCTTGTCCAAAATTAATCTATTCTATTCAATAAATTTAACACAGTTCATTCTGAAAATTATTCATTCACAATAATGAATCCTCATGTCTCTGAATCTCGAATTTTTATTGTTCAGTTGCTTTTGTTTGTGGGTGTACACATTTCTCGATGTGGAAATAAGTTCGAAAAACCATCTAATTATCACTTGAACAATTTTTATAGAGGAAATATCCCGTATCAAGTCTCATAATGAGGATCCCGCAGTAATTATCCCCTCGCACGGATTGACCCTCGAAAGGAAAACAAGGGCATCCAAAGTATCATGAACCCATATGCATACACACCAACACTGGGTTCCTTTCCAGTGATTAAGGTTCATCATTAAACGAACCGTTGCATATTTACTATACACACCTGCGTCAGAAATACAAAGAAAAAAATTGTTCTTGGGTGAAAAATGTGAATCCCACAGAGGGATTGTCATGCAGATGAGCTCAGGTTTTTTTTTATATATTCAGCAAAATATTGCAGGCACGCGATTGAGTACTCCCTTATCTTATGCTTATTTGGGTTCATCACCTTAATTATAACCTGAATGGACTCGGGGAAGGGGAAAAGAGGGAAACCCCAGTCTTGGTTCGCAACTGGGCAAGGGTTTCGGGATGCAGACCTTGGTGCACTTGGAGATCTCCTTGAGCATGTCTTGTCGGCCGCGTTCGTAGTCGTTCATTTGAGCTGCGCATGCCTCTGCGCATTCCTATCATGTTCGTGATGAGCAGAAAGTAAATGCAAAATCATGTACAGTACTGTATTAAAAACACATATACGACGAGTTTTCTTGTACAACGAAAGACCCAACGCAGGAATGCAACACTGCAATGACAATTCGTATGACAAGAATATTTTTTGAAATTTACAACTGTTTCCTATACACGGTACTGTTATAAAACTGTTTGAATTTTCCACTTTTGGCAAAAACTGGGACGAAAACACATATCAGAAAAAAATGCACGCAGCATAAATTAAAGCTTAAATGGATAAATTCATCAAAAAGTGAATCTGGGAGAAGATCTAAACTTTACTCGAGAACCTTTTGTTTCTGCTGGAAGACTTAATTTTGCTCGAACTGCTGTTTGAGTTTTTGCCAAAAAAGAAGAAAAAAAAAACGGGATAAAAATTCAGTATATTTTCAAATTTCTTGAAATTAATTCCTCCAAGAAATCCCAAATAACGCATTTTTAAAATGGAATTTTTCTTGATAAGTTTGCTGTACGTGACAAGATGTCAACTGTTTAAAAAGCGCGATGCTAACAAATACCAGTCATGCAAAATTCTACAAACAATATTCAAATTATCGGAATTCCAAAATTTTGCTATAATTTTTGCAGCAGAAACCTAAAAAGGTTCGAAAAGAATGTCAGAGGAAAAGGGCATCTAATGAAGTCCACGCCAGGATAATCACTGAAGAATTTCATTCAATTCAAAAAAATCAAGCGAATCTCAATTTCGTGTTACGATGTATTTTTTATCCTAGCAATTTCTTGTGAAGAAGTTTCACATATAAGTATTTTTAAACGAAAATATTAATAATTACGATTAAATTCTGCAATAAATGTACTGAAATACCTCAATTAATTGATTTATTCCTCGCTTTTACGTTAACAATGGTGAGCTCTCATTGTAATTAAAAACATAAGAATACATTGATGAGCTATTTTTGAGAAAGCGACTGCAAGAAAATTTTTTAGGATACTAAAGACAAAATGCGTCATCAGATGTCAAGTATATACGTCGTACTTTTTTTTCCATGTGACTTGAGTAATAAAATCAACACAAGTCATTACCTCAAAACATTTGAATATCTTCTCAGGTTTGTCGTCACAAATGAGATCCTTCACTTTGTCTTTGCACACGTACTGGACACACTTGCTTGACCCGTCTTCCATTTTGCACTCCAGAGTGATTTCGTCTGGACAATTAGGATCCGCTGTACAAGGCTTAGAAGCATTTTTGTCCTTGATGCATTGAAAAGTGTAACAAGGTCGCTTCCCACTCTCATCACAGAGCTCAATAGTGCATTTTTCTTTCTTATCCTTGCACTTGAGTGGACACACAAATGGTGGGCACGGATCCTTCTTTGGAGGAGGTGGTGGAGGTGGGCACATGGGATAACATGGTGGTTCAGGAATGCAAGGCGGTTCTTTAGGCGGAGGCTTTGTGCAGCATGGCAATTTGGTCACACAAATGGTGGGCACGGATCCTTCTTTGGAGGAGGTGGTGGAGGTGGGCACATGGGATAACATGGTGGTTCAGGAATGCAAGGCGGTTCTTTAGGCGGAGGCTTTGTGCAGCATGGCAATTTGGGCCATGGATTCCTGCATGGTGCTGTGGGTGCAGGTGGAGGTGGCTCATAGCATGGGTCATCTGGATCAGTTGGATCTGGTAGGCAGCATGGTGGTGGTGGGCAAGGGTCACATGGTGGTGTGGGAGGTGGTGGCATGCACACTGGTGGAATTGGAGGTGGACATGGTGGTGGACAGCACACTGGTGGTGGACATGGTGGTGGACATGGTGGAGGACAACACACTGGAGGGCATGGTGGTGGACATGGTGGAGGGCAAGGTGGTGGGCAGGGTGGAGGGCATGGTGGAGGACAACACACTGGAGGGCATGGTGGTGGACAAGGTGGAGGGCATTTTGGTGGACAGGGTGGAGGGCATTTTGGTGGACAAGGAGGAGGACAAGCTGGAGGACAGGGTGGAGGACAGGGTGGAGGACAAGCTGGAGGACATTTTGGTGGACAAGGAGGAGGACAGGGTGGAGGACATTTTGGTGGACAAGGAGGAGGACAGGGTGGGCACATTGGACATGGTGGAGGCGGACAAGAAGCTATGCAAGGTTTGCTGCCAGTGTCGCAGTTTATCTGTGGCAAAAAATACTTTGGACATTCGTATTTCCCGTGTGAAGACTTCTTTGAGATGTTCATCTTGGACGCATTTGACGAGCAATCCAATAATGATCTACAATTGTCTAAATTCTTAGAAGATCCATTTGAAGATCCTTTTTCTGCCATCCTGGCAACAATAAGCCCAGATTATTCCCCGGGTTTTCTCTTGCGATCCTCCTTCAGTAACTTCTGCTACGGTGTATGGGGTAAAAGTAACTGATTAAATGTGCATTTGATGGAACCACCTTTAATGTGCATGAGACTCTGCAATGATCAAAAACAATTAGTCAGCTTTCATCGTTCTCGCAAAATATAGCCCAGAATGACAAGTGGCCATTATTAAAATCATTCCTTCCTACGCATACAATCTACTTATTGAACTTAGACGGCATCTTTAGGTTAAAAAAAGAGTGGTTGCGTAAACATATGAAAAATGTTGTAAATTTATTTACCTGGATACAATTTATGTTTCCCCCTCAAAAAGTCATAGATAAAACAATTTTTATGCCAGTTTAACCTACACATTCTTAAAAATCCTCAAGCGCATGTAAAGTCCTTGTCCAAAATTGATCTATTCTATTCAATAAATTTAAAACAGTTCATTCTGAAAATTATTCATTCACAATAATGAATCCTCATGTCTCTGAATCAAGCATTTTTATTTTTAGGCTGCTTTTGTTTGCGGGTATACACATTTTTCGATGTGGAAATAAGTTTAAAAAAACCCTCTAATTATCACTTGACCAATTTTTATAGAGGAAATATCCCGTATCAAGTCTCATAATGAGGATCCCGTAGTAATTATCCCCTCGCACGGATTGACCCTCGAAAGGAAAACAAGGGCATCCAAAGTATCATGAACCCATATGCATACACACCAACACTGGGTTCCTTTCCAGTGATTAAGGCTCATCATTAAACGAACCGTTGCATATTTACTATACACACCTGCGTCAGAAATACAAAGAAAAAATTGTTCTTGGGTGAAAAATGTGAATCCCACAGAGGGATTGTCATGCAGATGAGCTCAGGTTTTTTTTTTTTTATATATATTCAGCAAAATATTGCAGGCACGCGATTGAGTACTCCCTTATCTTATGCTTATTTGGGTTCATCACCTTAATTATAACCTGAATGGACTCGGGGAAGGGGAAAAGAGGGAAACCCCAGTCTGATGTCAAGGGTTATTCAAAAAGTTCATTCATGCTTCTTGAATGATAGATATTATACACATCCTTCTTCCTTGCATGAAAGCTAAAACGGAAATTAACGAAAAAATTAAAGTATGTCGCATCACGATATTGGGGAAAAATAAACGAATTTGAGGTTTAAAAAAATTACATGGCTTTCTAAAATTTTCCCACGCTTTTCATTCCCAAATAAAAATAACATCCCTCCTATGAAACCTTTTTTATTGGAAAATATGAGGCAATATGACTGACACATCATAAAATTGATTTGAAATCAGGTACCATATGCGATGAATAAAACTGAAGAACTTGGTATGACAGGGTACCCTATTCAAGCAAGTACCACAACCATGTGCATATTTTCCCCCAGAAATTGTGGTGCATACTTGGTTTCCCATTTTCCTGAAAAATTTTCAGAATGTTGGTGCACGTCATAGTTGAATCAGAAGACATAACATCTCAGACAAAATATACACCGCAGGCCTTCAATAAATAAATAAAAAATGGTCAAGCTTAATTTTTGCAAATTTCAGCAACAAAGAGACACTAAAAATGGGCGGAAATCTTACTTCGGGCAAAATTTCAATTAAAATACCCAAGAATGAGTAGTACTCAATTAAATACGGCATAGAAAAACTGGTGAATTTTCTCTTTTATTGCGGAGGTTCTCTGGAAAAATACTTTTCCAACAACCCCCAGATTTTCTTTCTAATTCTCTTACAAGATGTTTACATATTGACTGAAGAATTCCGGTCTGCTTGATCCAACTCTTGGCTCTAGCTGAGCAGCAAAAAAAAGTTTATAATTTCATGAAAAAAAAATCGACATAAATTTCGCAACAGTTGCGGATGGATTCTTTCCAACATTTGTGTTTGCATACAGTGATTTGCAACACAAAGCTCCATATACATGCCTGCATGAAAAAAGGTGGAGGGTATATGATCACGTTGGTCCCCTGATGCAGAACATTTTTATGCAATCCTGCGATTTGTGAGCCCCTCCTTCATGTACATCAAGTGCTGAAAGGGGACGAAGGGGAGGGGGTGACTATAATAAACCACTGCTTGGAAATATAAGGGTGAGTCCCTCCCTTATTCGTGTAGCATCGAGTGCTGAAAGAGGACCAGAGGGTGGGTAAATATAAACCACTGCTCAGAATAAGCGGCCCTCAGGGGAGGGAACTGAGCGCATTAGGTTTCAACAGGGAGGAATAAAGAGAAAAAGTTGATGTGCTTTCTCAGTTGATGCAGAAAATCCCGATTTTATGTTTACGTTTGGAACCTTTTTTATTTTCTTTTTGCATTGCATGAGTTGTATTACGTCAGCACTTGGTTGGGTCCCTCTTTTTTTCGATGAATTCGCTGACGAGGAGGGGTTCCAACTGACCAAACAATTGCCTGTATTTCGGGGGTTATTGGAGCAGGATGAGACAATATACTGAGGGATGGTGTTCAGAGTGTCCAACTGTTACCGTTTTTATCTACAAAACTGTGACACACAAGTTTAATTTTTTTCAGAGAAAAAAAATATTTTTCAAATGAGCATACAGTGCTTGAAAAAGAGGCTGATGTCTCCTTGCTTTTACGACTTGGGAATCGAGAAGAGAAGAATATTTTGCCATCCCAGAAATTATTTTGTGGCCTCTTTTCTGCTTTTTAGAATACGTTTGATTTTACAGCCTCAACTCAATTGTCAAAAAATATAGACGCATTCCAAGATTGAAATTGGAATTGAACCTCTTTTTGAAAAAAAAAACCCTACATTCTGTCTTTGTACAGTACATAAAGTTGCTATCAATCAAAACCATATTCCTGAGACAGTTTATGCAGTACATCTACACGTAGTGAAACTGTTTTTGCCAGGAATTTGCCAAAGAATGATGCAAATTTTGCAACACAATTTTGAGAATTTTGAGTACTGTCAATTCAAACATTAGAGAATAATACTTGACATATGTTGGGGAGAAACTTACCTCAACATAAATTTGTTGAAATTTTGTAGGTGGATCAGATTGATAAAATGAAGTTCTAATTTGTAAAAATAAAAGACAGAATCAGCCTGGGACTAGGCCGGGGAACCTTTTGGTTTCCCTAATTTAAATTTGAGATTTATTTCAAAGAAATTTGTCCCACAAAATAATATGCAAATAATGAGCCTTTCAATGATACAACACTCAGCAGAACTTCACAAACTTTGTAGAATTTGTGATTTTTGCAGATACACACAGCTCAAAGGTTCAATTTGAAGTGAAGTTTCACAGTTCTCCGTGGATTCGGGAAACGGAAATCGATTTCTGGTTTTTGGTGAGTTCCTTCCCTTTGAGGGTTGGAACTCTTATCAAGATTTTCGCGCGGTTTTTTGTATGATAGATTTTGTAGTGTTTGGCGTGCGGCGCGGTTTTTTATATAATAACTGGATTTCGCGTTGTTTGGCGTGCGGCGCGGTTTTTCCCCAACAACATATCTTATTGGCATTCAAAAATTCTTATTTTACATTTTTATTGGAAGAATTTTTGAAATGCCAAGAAAAAATTCTCAGTTTTCAATAAAATCATGCAATGGAAAAGCCATTTACACCAGGAAAAGCTTTTATGACACAGAATTTGTAATATCAAAATTCAAATGAATTTTTTCTATTTGGGAGGTACCATGATGACAACTATAATGCGCTGTAAAGAATAATTTGTTATAACAAGATATGATGTCATCACAGGATCCTAGTGTACTGTCAACCCCTGCTCAATGGAGTTGATTTGTGCAACAGACTATAGTCTGTTATGTAAAAAGTCTGTTATGCAAATTAAATCATTAAACAAATTTAAATTTTTATTTTTTACCATTAATTTTAAACCAACAGAAGTCTGTTATGCATATTTAGTCCATTGCATGGAAGAGAAAACCACCTCCAGAGGTGGTCTGTTGTGCAAACATTCAAAGTGCATGGGGTCTGTTGGGCAGGGGTCAACTGTATGGTACAGACCTTTAATTTCCTGTGTGCTGTGTCATTTATTCATATATTTATTCAGATGCGTCCTTTCCGAATGCCATTAGGACCTAAGTTCTGCTTATCCTTCATCAAAACTGCAGTAATTTCTTTCAAGAAATATCTAAAAATTATACATCTTTTTCACAAGGAGTGAAAATATGAGAATTTTCGATTTGAAAAAAAAAAACAATGGTAACACTGTAAGAAGAAGGCATTTTCCCTTCCCCTCTCTTTCCTCTCTGTATACCCTCCCAGCTGGGAAAGGAAAACAGTAGCATATTCCCTTCTGGGGTGGGTTCGGGACGGGACAATTCGGGCAAGTGGGTCACAAAAAGTAATGGCTTGTTAATTGCCTACAAGTGGCAGCAGATGCCATCCCAACTGATGCCAGAAATTTCCCCGAATTTACAGTATTTTTTTCTTTCACCTTTCTCCCAAATATGTTCCAACCTCAAATTATAAAAGAGTTTTGTGCATATTTTTTATCCAACTCACATCAAATTGACAAGAACAGAGAATTCCCGATATGAACTGAACAAGGAATTTAATTCGGCATGAATCAGAGCATGAACGCCATAATAAACTGTTTTTTTGTGTTTTTTTTTTTACTCCGCCGTTGTTTAAATTACTTTTACAGTATTTGCAATCTTTTCGTGCCATTGGGTTCGTCGTGGCTTAAAAAAACTAGCTATGGAAAAGTTGTCATCGCAAACCAAAATGTTTTAACAAAATTTTTTCGGGTATGACGCGTACCAAAAATTGTGTTCGTAATTTTTTAAAACTGAATAAATATACGGTAAAATGACTGAAATCAAAATAAAATTCATATCTTTGCTTAATTCCTCTAATTTTAAAAATATGGTGGCATATTCAATTATTCAAAGCCCGGTCAGTCAATATGGAGAAATTCAACAAAATCTTAGAAAAACGAAGTGACTCAACTTAATTAAACTCAAATTTGACTTGTTTTTCCCCCTTGAATTATTATGCGCTGTTACTTGAAATTGGTGAAAGATTAATTATACGCTCGTTTCGAATTGAATTTCGCATATAAATCTGGTACTACTTTAATTGTACAAAACGCTCAAGCAAGAAATGGACCTTATAATCCAAAACACAATATGTGCTCAAACTAATTCTCGCACTTGACCTTTTTAAATGCGAATACCTACCACAATAGAGGGTCGATTTAGAATTATAGATAACCCTGTAGACATGATTGATTCGTTGGAGCATCAACGTCATTGTATCTGAGCATTCTGCCTGAAATTTTCATGCCTCCCTCAACGTATGCGGATCTGTTCCTCGGGGAATGAAGGCCACTCCCTATTTGTACTAGCATGTTTCAGCTTCATTCCAGCTACTTTAAAATATTGATTCAGCGTGATCCACGAAAACCCCTGTTTTTGGCAAACATGTGGCGCAGTTGCACAAGTATCGCTGTCCGTGATGTACACAAGACATCCTTTATCATGTTTGCACAGATATTTTAAAAAGAATATTGCAAAATAGTTGTGAAGTCATAGGAAATTCTCGCAGTGTTTTTGATTCACGTGAATAGTGATCACTGATTTATTCTTGTTAAAAACTTTAAAAGGTTAAATGGAGAGGAAAAAATGGAAACCAAACATGCAAACAAGAAAATCAATGCTTAACATTTTGACAGTGCTGGAGGGTTCCTGGCCATCCTGTGACAAAGTCAAGATTTTTTTTTGGGGGGAGGGGCATTTCAATTTGACCAAAGGTCACTGAAATGCCCCCAGGTTGCCAACACCTAATTAATTAAAAAAAAATCTGGGTACAGAAAATTCCATCGTCTCAATAAGAAATCCCCAATGTTAATCCTATTCTGGGAGTGCATGAAAAAATGCTGCCAATAAGTGAGGAATTTTTTAAGGAAAAATTTTCTGCAGGACTATAAAAAAATACCAGACTTTTCCCCAACTTAGGCCTTGGTTCAAAAATCATATTTTTTAAATTTTTCTCCTCATGGGAACAAAGTTTTGTGAAAATATCTTGACTTTGCCACACAACTATAAAAATGTGCATAATTTCTGGATGAGCTAAGAATCTTTTCTTTTCAAAGGTATAGAATTAATCATAAATTTTCAAGTTCTTAAGCACTGCTGTGTGTTGCTACTCAACTATGAACTGCACTTTTTCCCCAACAAAAATGAGTCTCATTCCAAAATCTTAGATGACCAAGGTAAACTGTTAGCTTTATACAATTTCTCCTCAAAGATTCTCTTCAAATTTTTTATTCAGCTAAAACTTATCTGGGAGCAGGCTGAAAACCTTGTGCCTTAATTTGTGTTTGTTAATTGCATTATGATGTTATTATGAATGAATGAATGAATGAATGAACAGAGCACTTTATTTGCCGCTTTTCAACGTTCACAAGGCACAACCAATACTCCCGCATCCAAACCCCCTCCCCACCCAACCCAACTCCCCCCAAAGACATTCAATCACTTCAAATCATGAAACAAAGCACAAACCAATGACAAATTTGTCATTGGTGACAACCAATTACAAATTTGTTTTTTATCATGTTATTATTATTACTGATATTTTATTTTTTTAATCTAGTGAGGGGAACAAAGTGTATGCATTTACATCAGTTGTGCATTTGTACATTTTGTGATATTTATTTTTTAATACCCAAAAACAGCTCATTTCTCTATTTTCAACTTGATATGATGTAATGTTTTCTGATGAATGTGGATGGGGAGGGGAACGGGGTTTCAATGTGGGAACATTGTTTGAACCTTTTGAATGCTGAAAAGTGGAAAATACAGTTTGTTCATCAATCAATCAATTGAAACAAAATGCTGATACAGCAGCAGGAAAATTGTTTGATGATGTCAATATTTTCAATTTTGTTGAAATCTATTCCTTTTCCTTCAGAGATTTTTATCATCATCAAAAACAGGACGCGTCATCAAGAAAAGCAGATCAGATATCTGACACCATGACGTTCGATCACACCCCGTTCCGTCAACAACAACTTAAATTATGATTATTCCTCTATTAAATGCAGTGACCCGAGTTGAGTGAGTGGATTATGGTGACACGTACAATACATAGCATCTCGTCGTCCCTTATCAATTAATTTCATTCCATGATTCAAGGTGAAAACGTGACTAAGTGCGGAATTGTCCTCAGCAACGAATCCTTTTCATTTTCATATCACGCCGATCAGACGACACTCGAAGCCCCGATTTCCGCTGTGGTATCTCTGATTTATTAATGTTTTTGTTTGGTCTTCATTATGGATAGTATATCAAGATTGGGAATCCCTGGAGTTGATCCAGTTTAGAGCAGACCGACGGGAACTGAGTGCTTCGCAGTGAGTGGGAGTTAGGGCATCATAATTGGAAAAAATGACTGCCCAGATGAGTGTGACAGCTGGAAAGGACAGCAAAGACAGGGTCATCTCGTCGCCCACCCACTCGAAGCTTCGACAGGTCAGCTTCTCAAACTGAGTCATCCCGAGAAAGAAAACGAAAATAAAAAAAAATAAAAAAATTGAAGGCGATTTCAATGTCCAGAAAAAGTAAATACGGTAACTGGGAAATCTTTGTCATCATAAACGTCTGAAAGTGACCCTGAAAAAAAGAATACGCTGCACGAGAAAAAAATGCTAGACTTCATTTCTCAAGAAATGGATTAAATTCTTCTCTTCCGAGTTGGTTTCTCTGGCCATTTAAAAAAAATACAAGCAAAAAAGAAGAAAAAAAGTTTGCCAGTGGGATACGGAAAAGAAATCTGCCCGAACAAATGCAACGACGTTTCCTCAGTATAGGAAATAATTTCTAACCAATTTTCAATTTGAAGATATTTTTAATTTTCTGTTTTGTTTCGTATAGTGCAACCCCAAGATGTGGACATAATTGGTTCATCAACCTTGCCGATATGTAGGAACGTCCGCATGTTGGACCTTACTTTCCCATATAATTCAATATATTTTAAATTGGTACTCATGTATCAAAAATTAAGAAAAAGCCTCTTCCAAAAAATAATTTTTATTAACGCAAAGGTGCACAAAATAAATGCAAAGAAAAAAAACAACACAGAATCTGATCTTTTGACATCAGAATAAGCTCGAAAAGCAAAGAACAAGAACATGCTTGTTTTACTGAGCACAAATGATCAAATACTTTAAAAAAGCGCAAAATTAGCCTGTTTATGATTATGTACTTGTGTAATTTCAAGTTCACCCTTATTTTTAATATTTATTACTGGAAAATGACTATTTTTTTCGAAAATATGAAAATTTATAGAAATGTAATGTATAAATGCTTCCAGAAATTTTATGAAAAATATCCGCAGGTCGAGTTATTGTCCGGATGTTGGGTCAGATTTTTTCAAGCTCTGCATGTCCGTATGTTGGTGTGTCCGCATTTTGGTGTCTTACTGTATTTTTTTCAATGCTGAGAGCATAAGGAAGGAAATTTCTGGAAAAATCTAAAAGAAAACATTTGTTCCAATGAACCTTGAAATTGTGTTCCCACGCGATTTCTTGCGTCATTTTGTTCAAGGTTTTTTCGTTCCCCTTAAAAGTTTTGCACAATAGTGAATATATTGCACTTCGTTATACAGTGATAGAATTGCACCTGTCCCAAGTACTACGTAAGACTTGAGCGTGATAGAGAAAAGCTAGAATTTCAGTGTTTGAAACTCAATAACTAAAATGCTGAAGACGCCAAATCAAATCATTTTAACCGGAAAACAATTTTTGGGACAAATATACAGTACGAGGTTTGACAAATCTGATGAATATAAACCGCCGAATAAATTGTATGGTAGAAGGGGCTGCCCAAATGTTACAAATAAAATGTCGTGAAACAGCAGCTGAGTCATTATTCCAGCGACGAATCAACTATTTCGCAAGTGAATGATTATTTTTCTTGCTTATGTTTTTATTATTCCAGTTCTCCGTCGGTGTCGTCGCGTCATTCAATGGACTCATCTGGGGACTCGTCATTGGATATTCTTCCCCAGCTGTCGACTCCTTCATCACCGACGGATTCATGCCTTTCTATTTGAGCGATAGCTTGAAGTCACTAATTGGTTAGTAGTCCATCGCAATAAGTTTTGTGTTATCATAGCACTCCAACTATAAATAATATGCCTCGGCGTAATTTATATTCTATCCCGCTTTCACAAAAAAAAAACCTACTGAATGAAATAAAAAAGCCGGAACTCAATTTTCGACTATTCCTTGAAATTTTTATTCTATACTGCATACTTTACGCAGTTATTTGCGAAAATAACGAGACTCCGGGAAACGGAAAATTTATTTCTAAAATCCGTAGAAATAAAATCTTGAAGGACATTTTAATTCTTGGAGAAGGAAACTTGGGATATAATTTCTTCTACAATAAATTCCGAGTTTTTATTTGAACGCCAAACAATTTTTTCGTTAAAAAAACCTTTCGCTGGAATAAAATTTTCGCCTTGTGGGGGACTCATGAACACTTAAATTTGAACATACAGGTAATATGCAGAAGTACATACATTATTATGAAGAGGTGAGTTTTAAGGAAGGCATTTAGTTTTAACGAATCTTGCGAATATAAAAGATACAACTGTAAAAAAAAAGTATTTTCAATGAGAACGATGCGTTTCAATCAAATTTGAAAGCAGCGCAAGATAAACTGGAATTTTTTTCAATTTTTCTGGGAATTAATTCAGGATTTCCCTTTGTACAAGTTATGCCTGGAGATTGCTCTTCATTTTTTATTGTCTGATATTTGAATGAAAACTATGAAATTTGGGTGGCTGAGATACACAAGTCAGTGAACAGCATTTTATGCCAAACAGGTTTTTTTTAAGGAATAACTTTAAAATTTAGTGAATCCCCTGGCAAGGTGAGAAGCCTCAACAAGACCCTGAAATTGTAGGAAACTTCAAGATCTAAAATATAAGACATTGCAGAATTCTGTAGCTCAAAAATTTACTGAGATATTTGCTTTGGTATTTTGCATTTGGAATTTCATAATTTATGGAATTTTGCCGTTGAAAATGTCCTAGTTTTCAGGACTTGTTTTTGTGGAAAGAGCCTGTGTGTCTTTATGCTTATTGTGCTGGGTATAAATATAAGGTGTGGGAATTGTGTGGAATAAACATCAGTCTCATATTCTTCTTCATCTAATAAGTTGTGTCTCTCATTCCTTTTGGTTGCCCAAGTACAGCAGTAACTTAAATTTCAAAATAACTATAGCAAGCTGCTTAACCTGCTTGATCAATTTGTGCTGCATCTTTTTGTACTGCATCTATCTAATATTAAAACATTAAGTAATGTTCTTTAAACTTATTTTCAGGTTCCATTCCAAATGCCGGAGCAGTGGTTGGCAACGCCATTTCCGGCCCAGTCACAGCCCGTCTCGGCCGACGCCGGATATTCCAACTCGCGATGCTGCCCCAGATCCTGGCCTGGGTCCTGCTGGGTTTCTCCCGGAACCCGGCAATGGCACTCACAGCCCGGGTAATCCAAGGCGCGCTCGCGGATTTCTGGGGCCCCGTTGCCCAGTTATACGCTGCAGAAATCGCGCACCCGGACCTTCGCGACTCCATAGGTGCTCTCACCATGTTCGAACTCGCCACAGGCATGTTCCTGGGTTACGCCATCGGCGGGTGCTTGCGCTGGGATCACATGGCATTCCTGGTAGCTGGGTTCCTCACGTTGCTCTGGCCACTCACATTCCTTCTCCCCGAGTCCCCAGTGTACTTGTTGTCCAAGGATCGAGTCGACGAGGCACGAGTTGCTCTGCAATGGCTCCGAGGCCCCGGGTACAACTCTGATGAAGAGTTGGAAACTCTGCGTCTGAACCAATCCGCGAATCATAAGGCGGATCAATTCTCGTCAGATGATAAGAAAAAGACGTCGTTCAAGGACCTTTTCACGCCGGCCACGATGAAACCGTTGATGCTCGTCCTGTTGCTTCTCACACTGCGTCAATGGACAGGGCCTTACGCCGTTTACACCTTCGTCGTCGAGATCTTTCAACTCTCCGGAAGCTCGGCTAACCCGCACGCGTCTTCGATGATCGTCGGCGCCATGACGTTAGTGTTTCAATTCCTGGCTGTGGGTGCAGTGCGACGTTTCGGCAAGAAGCGACTGGGCGTGATGTCTGCGGCGTTTTTGTTCGCCGGGCATTTCGGCGTCGGATTCTATTTCTACTTGGTGGAGAGCGGGGCCGGAGTGAGCGGAGGGCTCAATTACCTTCCGCTGATCTCGATGTGCGTGACGCTCATGGGATTCAACTTGGGACTCTGCTCGTTCCCGTTCGTGCTCATGGGGGAACTCTTGCCGGAAAAGATCAGGGACACTGCGGCAGGACTGTGCTTCTCGTGGAATTGCATCATGGCTTTCATCGTGGTGGAGACGTTTTACCCCATGACCAGGGGGATTCGGATCTCGGGCACGTTCGGGGTTTACTGCGTCGTTTCGCTCATCACTGCGCTCGTGATCATCTTCTGCGCGCCGAACACGCAGGGCAAGTCCCTCGCCGAACTCCAGAATAGTTTCGATGCTGGGCCTCCGAAGAAGAACGCCGTGTATCCCGAAGATTCTTTCAAGAATATCGTCATAGTCGTGACCAATAATGCCGTGAACAAATCCAAAGAAGCTGCGAAGTCCGCGGAGAAAGAATCAAACGACCACAACTTGGTTAATGTTGCCGGATGACATTTTCATCGCAGTATACGTACTGTACTGTGTTTCAAGTGTGCTCCCGGGTTTAAGAATGGAATTGAAGCACTATGAAGGAGTCGAAGAGCAATTTGGAATAAACCTCCATTTGAAGATGATAATTTTCTTTTATTAATTGTACATGATATACCGTCTGCGCATCGGAGAAAGAGCCATTTTTAAGCACAGGAATAATATAGCTCTGGTTCTGGTCCAACAAAGAACAATTCAGTGTATCCCGAAAATTATAAAAATAATTTGCATTCTTGAAGTCTGTAATTGCCGCGACTAAATCCAAAAAAGCAATGACAAAGTCTACGGAGAAAAAATCAAACGACCACAGCTTGGTTAATTTTGCCTGATGAAATATAAATTACAGAATACCAAGTGTACGTGCTCCAGGTTTTAAAATGGAATTTCAGCACCATGAAGGAGTTGTTGAAGAGCAATTTGGAATAAACCTCCATTCGGAGATGATAATTTTCATTCATCAATTGTACATGAAATACCTACGAAAAACTTGGAAAGATGGAGTAAACATCGTCCATCGCAAACGACAATTTTCATTCATTTATTCGCCCTAAAAAAATGTGGAAACCTGTTGCAGATCCTGCACATTGTCGTCATCAGCACTGAAAAAAGAAATTTGAACTTTCCTCCTTTGTATAAATACATCAAGCTTAACTTGGAAAACCTATTCGGGTAAATTTTGACGCTCAGACAAACCGAACCTCTACAATCTTTTGGGTTCAGTTTTATCGTCGAATGACACTATTTGAACATCTCATCACTCAGTTCAGGATTAGATTCGCAGAATATTTTATCGCTGAAATACAGTATTCCGATATGATATGTTTATTTAATCATCTGTCACAGCTTCTCCACATACAACAGCTACTTAATTCAGATTTAATCATTTTGAAAATATGTCCTGAGTTATCTTATTTGTTCATATTGTTAATTTAGGCTGCCTTAATTTGGCAGTGCCCCAAAATGTTTGAGCATTCTACATAGAGTGTATTTTCAAAGTCACAACCAATGAAACACTTTTCTTTTAATTCACAATACATATATAAGACGCATATACAGCCTGCACAGAAGTATAAACTCAGAAATTATAGTCCGGTAAATTTGTGACTTGAAAAATATTTTCACCAAATACTGTACCAAGGAATAAAAGAAAAATATTTAACTTATAAAAACGAGAATAGTAATTTCAGCCACGTAAAAATTCTCGAATTCATTGTGGCAAATGAAAAATAGCAAAATGTGTTCCTGCTGATTATTTCTGTGAGAAATCTGTCCCAACAGAAATGTGCTTAAAAATTCTGGTTCCTACTTCCTATGATGGGGTTAAGCAATAATTAATAAAAGGTACGTATAGAATCCTATTACTTCAGTGCAGAGTAAAAAATTTCGAAACATTTATTCCGTGTCGATTAATATTGTACTGCATGCTTGCAGCATCATTGACAAAATTCAGCAACGCAAGTGAAATCAGTAAGCAATATAAGGAAAAAGTCCTGCATTCATGTGATCAACCATCAAGGTGTTAGGAAGGAACCCTTGTTTCTTTTTATGAACCCGGCGATAATTATGCACTATTTTCTTCATGAATTGACGGTAGTCAAGGCATGAAAGCGCTATAAATAAAAATCATACGCATTTGATCCTATGCCTAACATGAGTGGCAAGATAAAAGAGCGACACCTTGTCAAAAATTTTAAAGACTTAAAAGCTTCAGTTTGTTTTTTTGACCGCTGTGTGAAGTTTCTCGAAAAATGGAACAACCTCAGCTTTTGGTCACAACTGTGCTCCTATGCGCAAGTCAAAAAAAAAAAAAACACATTGGGATACAGATCAATTTGAAAATCATTAAAAATATTTTCGTGGGGTTTGAAAAAATGGAATGGTTCTCAACCCGCTCAAGCCTTGTGTAAATAATGCAATGATGAGGGGAAAAGAAATGCACAGTATTTGAAACGCAGCAATCGAAATCGATCATAATTTGCGCCTCACAGCATGTGAAGAGCAAAAAGCAGGGGGACCGATAACGCATCATTGTAATTTCCGTCCAGTTCGCGTGCAAACACCCTAGCTTGACCCGCCGTGTTGTTTTATGAGTCGCGTGTCTGCAAGCATATAAACTTCATCAACATCACGGAATTTGTAAAAAAAAAAAAAAACATATGCTGCACACGGAATTTCTATCAAAATGGACATATGCCGGAAAAAATTGGACTTAGGCAGGAAAAAGGACATTTGCAGGAATGAGAAACCTTTTTCCACCATCAGCTGTTTATAATCCATTCTGGTCAAACAACATGTAAATGAGGTAAAGCCTAATCCGTATAAACAAAAAGTGAGGTTTTAAACATAATCATAGTTTAAAAAAAACTTCTTCATAAGTCCAATTTGCTCAGGTCAAAAACCTCTTACACTTCAATTTTCAGTAAAGCTCAAGTCCATCACATTCAAGTCATAGGATGTGAAATTTCTCTCAAAACTGTTTGGCTCTTGCCATCGTAAATTAAATTTTCCATTGCCCTTGTTTTATTTAAACCTGGGTTAAATTTTAGACTACTGATCCTCTTTAATATACAGTATGCACATAACAATTTAATGCATTTCACCAGGGATTTTGCAACTTTCTGCCCAAATAGGACTTCCGAAAATTATTCAATTTTTAATAATTATGCAAAAAACGTTTTCAATTGATTGGCCAACAAAGTTCAGGTCATATTTCCCAACTCGGGAGGTCTTCAAGTGAAAGAACATTTTCTGAAAATTCCTAAAAGCTTTGGTCTCAAGAATATTTTTTGGAGAAAATTTGTTGAACGCAATGTAATGAGATGATGCAGTTGAAATATTTTGCTTTCTGAAACAAAATAAATTATTTTAGAAGCAAGGGGAACATTCTTGATGCAGAATTAGGAACATCAGAAACTGTTCTGTCAAAAATATGTGCAACATAAAATCTATTCCACCACTGGAATCTCTTTGCAGGAAAGTCATTGGAACGCACATATAAAATGTTTGATTATAATTCAATTGTATTAAATCCAGACTGATTTGTTAGAATTCAGTGAACTATATTTTCACAACTCTCGAAGTTCGCATGCATTAGCGACACTCTAGGAATTGCTGTTGTTACAGAGTCGTTGTTTTTGTTGTTGTATCAAACAGATGTCACTGCTCTCAAGATTCAATTCCATCCGGATCAAGGTTTGTTTTCGCTCTCGATTGAAGACTGTCCTAGAATTATTGCACATGATTTTCAGTTTAGGCCTTGCCCCTATTTTTCTCCTCCTTCTTGCTCTTGTTATTCTCGTCCTTCTTCGACTTTGACTTGTTCTTCCCTTTGTCACTTTCTTCACTTGCGGAGCTGTTTTCTGAACGCTTTTTCTTGGTGTTTTGTTCTTTTTTCTGCGTTGATTTGCTTGATTGCTGGTCATGGCGTTTTCTTTTGGGTTTTGGAGATGCGGTGCTGGTACTTGTAGTAGAGTTAGCTTCTGCTTCATCTACTGCTTCTCTAGCATCTCTATCTTCGGGGGATTTGCTGCATGTGCAGGCTGACAAATCAACTAAAATAATGTGAGATACAGCATGCTTATGTAATTCATAATTTTAGGTTCCAATGTACAATTAAAATTGACTTTATCATCGTCTAATCATTCTGTATTAATTCATGAAAAGTGCACATTTCTCAAGAAGCGAAATTTGAAAGTTAGCTGATGGATCTGAAGCAAAGCCAGATTTTTACCTGTTACAAATTTCTAGAGATGACGTTTACTGTGTTATTTTCGAATTTTTGGCCATTTTTAAATTCTCATGAAAGCTGTTTTGACGCCTTTCTTCACTCTACCTAGTTTTTCAGTTTCTACCCCAGAGTGAAAAATGAATTTTTCAAATGGACTCTGATGAGTTGGGCAATTTCTTTCTTTTCCAGAATCAGCAGTGGATTCTCCGTGAAATCTGTAATTGGACAAGCCCAGGGAAGATTTAAACTATGTTTTGAATGGCTCAAATTTTACATTAAATTTTATGGAAGGTGGGATGAACTTCTTGTGTTGTTCATGCTTTGCCTCAGTTAATCTTTGCGTAGTTACTCTTCTTTGGCTGAATGTACTTTTCTCTGAAAGAAAGAAACCAAATAGAGAAATGCTCAAACCTGATTCCAAACTTTTTGAATCTACTGTCAAGCAACGAAACAGTTTCAGGACATTTAATCACTTACCTGTCTTAGTGGTCATTATTCCCGCATCGGTTGTAGTGACATCTGCTTGACCAAACAGACCAGCCAGCTGAGGTTGCAGGTGGTTTCGCCGGAATTTGGTGGCAGGTGACGCTCCTAGGCTGGGTTGAATCCTCGCAGTCATGCTCCTTGCCAAGTCGGCCAACGACTCGACGACTTGAGTCTGGTACAGCAATTCGAAGGATTTGTGCTCCATGGCCAGTGTTTTCGTCTTGTCCAGGAATTTGTCCAATGACCTGAGCTCTTCCGTGGACATGGCAAAGAGTTTCTCGGTGTCTGATGCATTCACGGTGTTCCACACCTTCATCAACTCGTCCCACGCGTCTTGCTGGCCAAGTCTTTTCATCTCAGTTTCGATTATCTTCATGCGTTTTCCAAACCTGTTTTTGTGCGTGTATGCAATGAATCTCATCGTGAAAAGACACCAGTTCTTTTATAGCCTATTCAAAAGAATTTTGTTGCAGAGTAGTTGAGGGGTAATCGGAAAAATATGCGGGTTTAGCATAATTAGTTTTAAGAAGGCAGCCGAAGTACCGCCAGATGCTGGCGATGAAATAATAAAAAAAGCTGTTCATTATCGTCACACTTCTTGTTTATCCGCTGTCAACTGCATGACTAAGTTGGAGAGCTTATTTTTCTCATGTGCAGGATTTCCTATTCTGGGATTTATATTTAACAAAAGTTTTTGGAATACATTTTATCTTATTCAGTTGAACCTCTTTAAGTCGAAATTCAAGAGACCAGAAAAACATTTCGGTTGTTAGGGAAGGTTTGAGTTTGGAAAACAAGTATTTGTGTCGGGGGAAAGAAAATATAATTACAGGACATTGTAATTGGGAACGTTGTGCAACTTGAATTTATTCTGAAATGAGTTGACAGGATGCTGATCTTGGAAGCTTATTTTGCTCCATTAGTCTTTCACTTCAATTCAAAGCACATGAAAGTAAAATGGTATTGGCTTTCTCTTTCCTGTGACAATAAGATAATAGCGAAAAGGATGAGACCCAGCAATTTGGCTTATGGAGGTTCAAGGGGGAAAGCCATGAGGTTTTTTAATAACCAGTATTGTCATTAATTGAATTCAGGCAGGGAGTTCTGAAATATTAACAAAAGTATTTGGCTCAGAGAGATTTGAGCTATTGGGGTTTAACTGCTTAGCTAAAATCGATGAGCTCACTTCCCCGCAAAATATTTTAAAACCGTTGCTCCATATATTGAGAATCCAATTCCAGATTACATGATTTATATATTTTGAGAATATGAAGGTAATGCTTTTTCTAGCAAAGCGGATCACTTTTAAATACCGCATGACCATGGGGAATGCTTGATGTCCTCTACGACATGGTTTTCTCTCCTTTTACGTAGATGTCGCACATTTTGAGGGGTCCCAATTGAGGAGCATTTAAGACATTAAAGTCTTGTATAATCAGAACTTTCCTACATTCTTGCAGATATTACCATTTTAAAAATTAGCCAAAATTAATACATATTAAGTTATATAAATATAAAAATATTCAATTCCAGAATTTGCGCTCAGTTCAGGGCTTCAACTTTATTCAATTAAAACTAATTTGTGTTTCAGTCAAACTCAGTGACCACAATAACAGGTGGTACATTGCAATTCAACCTCCCACAACTTGAACATCCCACAATTGAATGGTCAAATTTGCTTGGAGGTTGACATGCCATTTGACCTTGGCCCCACAATTTGACCTACAGAGAAACAAAAAATGTCAAATACCATGAAGAAAACATGCCATTTGATGTTGTCTTGCAAGTTGACTAATGCTTTGGAAATCAACCATTTTCCAGCAATGGATTATGGTAAACTTGTGGGGAACCATTTTTACTTTATATTTAAATTAAAATGTTTTTTTTTATAAATTGTCCCATCCATTCACCTATTTGTAGCTGTCACATGATTTTACCTCATGAGTTATGGCAACTGAAGTCCATATTCATCAAATCTGTGACTAACGCTTTTTCTATATGGACCAGCATTCATCCAATCCACATAACATCATAACAAACTCCAAGTACCATCAGTTGGGAACTGAGGCATTTGCCTGTACATTTGCCCATAAATAATTATATTAATAAACTACCCTGTCCCCCAGCAGAAGCCAGTGCTGCGGCTTGCATGGAGAGCTCAGGACCAAAGAACTTGCCCCTTAGAACCTTTAAAACTTGCACAACAATGCTGCACATCATCTTCAATTTTAACATAAATGGCCAATCAGAAAACAGCAAAGAATCCCAACCTTCACTAGGAACAATTTTAACACAACCAATAATGCTTCAAAGCCTCAAAAACTTGAAATCAACAGCGCATTCTCATTCAGAATTCCCCCCAATTCTTAGCTTTCACTGCTTGAACCAATCCTCTGAGAAATTATGTGAATTATTGTGCATGGGTATTTCTATTGAAGAAGGTGCTGAGTTGTTGATTCTTTTGGGAAATTAATATTTATTGATGTCTCAAAATAATAAAAAAACTCAGCTAGCCAGTTGCAGGCGGATTGTGGTGTTTTACTCATAAATTATCTTTGTTTGGTAAAATCCTTAACAGTATGTGTATCACAGGTATGAAAATCCCAAATTGAAATCCATGCATAAATCGTCAATGTTCATGAAAGACAAAAATAAAGAAAAATGAATTAAAGATAAATAAATAAATTTAACCTGGAGGCAAATACGCGGTTCATGATGTCAGCCACGGGCAGAAGCGAGGCGTCGTTGTAATGATCACTGAGCCACCTGGCGAATTTGTTGTATTCACGCATGAAGCTGACGGACTCCTTGACGAGCGCCGGTCTCACTTCCGCCACGTCGCCCTTGACGATCACGTGGCGTCCCAGGGTGCCCAGGAGGCGGAAGAGAACGGCGGCATCGGCGTCCGACTTGAAATACTGCTCCAAAACCGCCTCGAGCATCGTCACGTACGGCTGCAGAATGGCGAGCAGTTTGCCCTCTTCCGTGCTTGACATTGTGTAGACGACGTGACCTGGTCTGATGTTCAAATGCTTGTTCTTCAACATTGGCAGACCTGTTTTTTTTTTTTATCGGGAAGTAATGACGAAATCGAAGCAAAAAAAAAAAAAAAAAAAAAAAAACAGAAAAAACCAAAAAAAAAAAAAAAAAAAAAAAAAAAAAAAATTTTTCATAAGAAAAAAAAAAAAAAAAAAAAAAAAAAAAAAAAAAAAAAAAACGACGGAAAAATTCATGTATATCAGGCGGACCAAGTAAAGAAAAAGTGTTTCTCAGTCTTCTCGACGAAAACCCATTAAAAGAAAAAAAAAATCAAGAATCCATATAATTCTGAATAAATGAATTCTGGTTTTTTAAGAAACGACCATTAAAAGAAAAAAAATCGAGAATCCATATAATTCTGAATAAATAAATTCTCGTTTTAAATAAACGAAAATTCTCGCTCTGAGTTATTGTTGATTCAGGGAATTCGAAAAATATTTTTTTTCTTTCGAATTATCATCCATGCTCGAGAATGAAAGAAGTAATCAATTTCCTGCAGAATATATCAGAGTGAACATGCGACACCTTATTCTTTAAATTTTGCTCATTTGGCTCATTTGTTTGTTGTCTTTCGACAAGATTGCACCAATTTAGGGCTTTATTTTGAAGCCTTTGTCTCAATTTTGCGGAATTATTTACGCTTTCACTAATTGCTGGTATATTGACCTGTATTTTGCAAAGTCTTTCTCTGGAGCAAAGCGTCATAATGACAGGAAAGCAACCAAGAACATTTCATATTCGTCACTATAATTGTGATTTCAGTCTGTTATTAAATTTTGAGAAGCTAATCAAGCCCGAAGTTCACGAATCTCTAAAAATATACTTCTTCCTAATGGAGCCATAATTAAGAAAATTAAGGTGATGAGTCTTTTAATGCTCACTTGTGCAAACTTCTGAACTTCAGCGTACAAAAAAATAAATTAATTTATGCAAAGCGCGTATTGTTTCAAAATTGCCACGGAAAATATTTGCAAGAACCAATTATCATATTCAAATGCGATTCCTTTTTATGAATTCAAAAACTCAGTTGCTATATATATATCAAGGCTCAACATACCAGCGATTGAATAATTTGCACTTTGCTTCGCTTCTTCGGCTGCCGCAAATCCCAGGAAAATCCCGGAAAATACCACTATTAAGCAAAATCGCTCCATTGGTGCCCGTGCCGAAACCGTTTATCCACGTTTGTTGCACTGAGGAAAACAACAGAATGTTTTCAAATCCCCAGATATAATTTATCAACCGGAAATAAAAGAGGGAATCGTGCGACAATAAGCACCCCGGCAGCAGGGAAAGAGAAAAACGCAGTCGACCCGATATTGCTTCTTTCTGCGACCGATGTCAGGAAAAGTACAGAAATATATATATAAATATATACATATAAAACTTCTGTATGTATGAAGGGAAAATCCCACCAACAAAGACACACCCTGTTCCTTCCCCCGATTTTGAATATTCATGGGACGGGTAACCAACAAGATTTTAAAATATGACGACGTTAAAATAGAAGATTTATTCCTCGAATTAATGACAATTTGTTGATGACAATAATTCAATAAATTCAGACTCGAAAAGGTTTTGACTCGAAAAAATTTCCCCGCGTTTGAAATAATTTCATTGATTTCGCTTCTCATCTTGCTCTCTCCAATTTTTTCTTCACCGGGTACCAAATTTATTTCAAAGGTTGGACTTTTAAGCAGATGAAAAAAAGGAATGGTTCCCTGTATTTGTTTTGATCCCAGTCCCCAGGAAGACTGAGTATATGAGGGACTTTTATAACCGATAAAGGAGTCCCTATAAGGGAAAATAAAACCCGATTTTCCGAAATGTTCTCCGATTGTTTCACTTCAGCAGATAATATGGTCGCAGTATATATGTATATAATAGAGAAAATAATACCAAAGGGAAAAAAGTCTTTCTTTTTCATGTGGGATCGACTTGACTTCTCTATATATCCGGGAAAAAGACGCAAAATCGAACATGGATCGTGGAAGCACGGAAGCCTCAATAATTTCCCTCATTTCCGCTTCCTTGGGTCAGAAAATTGCATTTCTTTGAGAATAGCTTAGATGGTCCTTTTTGGATTTCTCATTTTATTGCTGGAGAATGTGTGCTACATGAACTTGTTTACATTTTTACATCCATCAATAAACAACAACAAAACGTGGCAACAACAAACGTGTACGGCATGTGCAGTGATGCACAATTAAATAAATTGGGCTATAAACTACTGTATATCAGAAGATTTTTCAAAAACTGTATTCATTGGGGCACCTTTATTTTTAATTTTCCTTCTGTTCACTCTGTATTTTAGAGGACAACAAAATAAGAAAATTAATGTGTGTTCCTGCACATGAAGCATATAAAGAAGTGAGTTACATGAAATTTAAATTATTTCTAAGAATTTCAAGAGTATGTGAAATGAGGCTGAGAAATTTCCCTGTTATTCCAACAAAAAAATATGCCTTCTCTGCAGATTACTTCATTTTTTTATGATTTGCACCATCACTATATACAGTTGGTATAGCCAAAAGTCCACATTAATTACAGGATAAATTGATAATTGTTCATCATGTACACCCAGCAAATAATTTGTTATGGATAGGGCTGGGCATAACAGTTATGCATTATGTAACGCATTTGTTATGCGTAACTGTGATGACCAGCTTCTTCTGTTACACCTTTCTTTTTTTTCTGTGTTGCTGTACTGAAAATTTTTTCTGAAATGCATTCTGAATGCATTCTTAATGCATTCTATTGTTACACCTGGGTTTTCTAAACATTGGTTTTACTTTTCTTGATTGTAACATGCAGGCATTTTGAAACACCTGCCTGTTACAATGCCAAAAACTGTTTAGTTAACATTTTGGTGGGGGTCTGAAATTCTTTCAGTATCATGCATCACATTGTTTGAAACATGAAATATTTTGAAAATTACAATCTGCTGATATTCTGGGGAAGTACCTGTTGACAGATATATTTTGGGGGAATTTAAAAATGTTTTAAATTGAAGCTGCAACATTTATAAATCAATGTATTACCGATCTGCTGATGGCATGAATAAAATAAAAATTTGAAAATGTACTGACTTATAAAGTTATAAATGCCCCATTTTCATTTCAACTGGAAGGAAATTTCGATTGGGAAATAAATACTCGATCCTAGACAAAAAATAATTAAAAAATGAGGACCCGATTCAAGCAAATATATTGGGTATGCATTCATTTATTAGACAATTTTTCGTACTTCTAATATACAGACAAATCATGCTGACTCTACAGAAAATTAATTTTAGAATTTTTCTCAAAAATGAAAGTTCTCAAGACGCCTCAAGTGTGCATCTATAACAAATAGTACCGTATACGTTTCATTTCAATGCAAATAAGAGCATGAAGGATCATAAATAGTTGATGGAAGTTAATGGGAAAATGAGCACCCCATGGCAAAATCCCCGCTTCTTCATTTGCCTCATCATCTTTTCATTGCTTTTTCGTAGAAATGCTTCTGATGTGAAACTAAACATAAGCCTCAGGGGAATCCAAAAACCCATCATCAAACCAGTATGCCGTCATTTCGTCCCACACCTTAGGGACTATACCAAGCTTTTCTTAAAGGTTGAAATCAGCAAGCAAATACTGTATAGCATCAGTTGCGACGTTATTAGAAACTGAGAAACGCCGAACAGAAAATATAGCGAATGAACGACATGCAAACATTGTAGATTTTATTCTTTATTGTCAGCTGTTTCTATTGAGGATCTAATTCAGAGTGGAATCTACGCAAAACTGATATTCTGGAATGCAACATGTGTGCCACCGTATTCCTTCTTTTGCCTTCAATAAAATGTTTGCAAATTATTTCGCGGCAACATCAATAGCTGTTCTCAGGAATACAAGAAAAAAATTATATATGATGAAAAATAAGCTTCGTAAAATTTTAAGATGTACGAATAATACCGGTGGTAAAATTACGGTTTAGTGCCGCTTATGCTTGATTATTTTCGTTCACTGAATAATTTTCGAAAATTGTTTGACTGATGCAGCCAATTATATTTAAGAATCACATTTCTTAAAAAAAAGACTGACTGAAAAAAATGTTCATGGCAGCAGGAAGACTTATTCAACAAAAACAGGATTTTGAATTTTTCAATTTGTCAATGGGAATCATTTCTTACATTATTGCAATGCCAAATTCACTCATATACCAATGAATGAACTTGTTTTCAAATCAAAATTCAACAATAAGAAGCAATGCGCACACGACCACAATTTTGATGAGAAAAATGTTCCGCATTTTTCAACATGTGCTGTTTTGTTGATGATTATTCAATAATGTAAAAGTATGTTACGTCTTTTTCATCATCCACACCATACAATTTATATAGAACTCACCCTAGCTTGTAGCAATTCGTCCTCTATTTTACTTTGATCTCCATTATCCCTCAAAAAATGTATAAAAAGATGCGTATCAAGTGCTTATTTCCAATTGAAGGGATGAAACAAAAGCCCGGGAATTTGAATGTAGCATTTTGAGACCGGTTTCTTTTTAATACTGAATATTATCGTGTTGCTAATACTGTATTTCCACGCTGAAACAGTATTCTCGAACTTCGCAACTGAGGTTAGCGACATCTATGTTTTACAAATTAAACGTTCAAACTACTTTAACAAAAGACGACGCTTGAGGACGCGCGTCGCGTTGCTCGTACCCCGCAAATGCACCCATGCCATGCGTGGGTGTTTTCGGGCACCCAAGAACCGACCCCTGCCAGTCTGAGCCGCGACGTCGTCGAACTCGAACGTGCTGAACACTGAAACCTTTCTCTGCCTGAATAACATATTTTTATCGAAAAATTTCACGCAATATGTTCATTGTTCTTGCAAACATCGTTCCTAATACCTGTGCATGCTTGTGCGTCGGAAAACATAGAGAACTTTCCCACGGAATATGTTGAATTAATTACAACTTATTGACAGTCCATCAATCGAGGTCTCATTTGTTTAGAACACAAGGAAAGCAAAAACAAAGGATCACGACCGTGTTCAAAAATAGATCCGAAAGAAAAACGCCTTTACGCTGAAACAACAGATCGACACATTCGAGAAATTATGCATGCTGCACTTCGTGACCTTTTGTGAAAAAGCAAACAACTCATGGATAATGTTGATCCCCTGTTTGGAAAACTCAGCAGTTACTCTCTGTCATACGGTTTTCTACACATAAATTCCGTGGCGAGAAATCCGCAAAATATGGTGTTTCTCGCCCAAAATTAACGGGGTTCCCTGTCACCTGAATTCCGCAAGAAACCCTCGTGTTCTTCGCATTTTGACGTAAGCAGGAAAATATGTGGTTGAAGAAAATAATGCTTCCGCAAAATATGGTGTTTCTCGCTCAAAATTAACGGGGTTCCCTGTCACCTGAATTCCGCAAGAAACCCTCGTGTTCTTCGCATTTTGACGTAAGCAGGAAAATATGTGGTTGAAGAAAATAATGCTTACCATTTTCCAACACGTGAAAATAACTCACTTGCAGCTCAGAGCTGTGTTATAAGACATCTTACCCTTCTTTAAAAAAAATCAGAAATCATCAGACGAATGAAAAAAACAACCTTTGAAAAGTTAAAGTTGAAGAATATTTTGCAATAAAAAGGAGCAAGAAGGCAACTCTCATGAATCCGTCTAAAATCCCGATGCTTTCATCCTTTTTTTCGGTCCCCGAAAAGATTTGAATTGTTTGAAATGACGATCAATTTTTTTCCACCATTCAATGAAATTCCCGCCACGAGTCGATCCCTGATTTAATTTTTCAAGGTCTTTGTGTTCAGAGAAAGCCTTTTTAATCTATGATTTACTGTTTTTGAAAATGAAAAACAAGCCGTAGGAAATGCTTTTAAAATTATAGTGCGCATAAAGCCTTCGCGCAATTAAAGCAAAAAGACTCACTAAAGCTTATTTAGTACGAGCCAGATTTTGCAACCGTTATTTATTTCTACTTTAGACTTGACGTAAGCCAACAACTACCTGTGGATTTTGAACAGCATTCTGCCGTCAATCATTTGTCAACGTCATTTTCGTCAGCGACTATTTGCGTTTATTAGCTCAAGGAAGAAAAACGTTTGAAAAACATTTTCTCGCTAACTTATACTCGTATTCCACGAATATTCCATTCAAGTGTTATGAAACTATTCCAATATAATTTTTCAAGAAAGTCAT